ACAAGCATGCTGAGTCTTCTAGACACCTGGAATCGTGAATAGGCTGTTTAGTAATGCAGGAAACCAGGCACCTGTAAATGTTAGAGGCCTGACATCTCAGCCACTCAAACCAAGACACACTCTGACTTTGTATTTGAAGCTTCTCACATCTCCTTCTGTGCCCTGACTTCCCCATCTTTTAATTCTGCCCCTTTTTGCCAGCACCAATATGATCTGGACAACATAATCTTCCACAGGGTCATCTTCAACGTGATTCCTTTTAAATGCATCAGTAACTGGCAGAGGTACTATTCCCTGGGATAGAAATCCTTTTGTGGATCTAGTGGAATCCTTTATGATCTACTCGTACAGATTCCTTATGGTGAAATTAAGTCCTCATGACAGGTTGAGAGGAATGGAGGAGCAGATACTCAGTGAATGGAGGTGCCTTCCCCCAGACTCTCAAATCTCTGAGAATTCTTTCAACCTCCAATTTCAGACTGGCTAATATTGTCTCTTAGAACTTTCTTCTAAAAGAGACCCCCAAAATCTACTGATTTATAACATGAGAAGATTCATCTGCTTTAGTCTGCTTAGTTAACTCTCCCCAATGTATTTTCATTTGTAACAAGATGTTTCTAAAGTCAACTAAGTTTTAATAATAAAGCAACTCTAGGGCTTCATTCACAGCAAGGCTTGTTGGTTCCGATGGCTCAGGCAGAATTTCTGTAGTTGACCCTTCTTTTTTAGAATTGATTTCTTTTTTTTTTTTCAGGACCAAATATAATAAAGAGTATGTAAGTGTGAAATGTGCACTTTTCATTCCTTTACACTAAGAAATTAGAGATGAGGAAGTTGTAGGAGGTCACTGATGTTTTTTATACTCTTCCTTTCACTCAGGTAATAAACTCCTTTTCTTCTTCTTTCCCAACTTAGAGCCCAAGATGGAACATTTAACCTTAGTACTACATCAGTACCTTCAAAATCCTCTACCACCTTTCTTTCTATCTCATTTTCTCTGATGACCCCTAGACCAGATTAATCCAGTAATCTGCTTTATCTCCTTCTCTACCCAGACTGACAGACATTGGTGGAATACACTTGTATTTTGACTAAAATTTAGAGATCTCCAAATTCAGGAAAATGTTCAATGCCCCTCAGAAATCCTTTTATGGGCAGCTGGCCAGTACTCTCTCCCATTGTTTGTCACAAATACTTTCAATTCTTCTCAAGTCCCTACTCTATTACATTAGCAAATAACCTTTCCTCCAATATGAACTACATTTCCTTTCAACTTCTCATCCCATATGCAAAAGCTTATCTGTATACATGACCACCTTTTTCTTTCTACCTCACAGGAAAATCTCTCTCCTTCCACCATTTAAAATTTTGATTTAAGTTCTACTGTATCTCCATTAATTCATCCACCCACCCATTTAATACATATTTATCAAATACTGATTAGGTGCAACCGTGCTAGAAGCTTGTGACACTCTAATAAGTAAGCAGATTTGCCCTGCCATCAAGAAATTCTGGATGTAGAAGATAAGGAAATAAAATCAATAAATTAATGCTATTGCAGAAATACAGTTGACCATAATAGAGAATTATAGGAGGGTTAGCTGTTAGACTGTAGTCAGAGAGGGCTTCTCTATAGAGGGAATATTTATTTAAGCTAATATATAAATGAACAGAGTCAGCCAGGTATGTAGGCATGGGGAAGGTAGCAATAGTGCTAGAAGTTCAGGAAATAATAAAAGCTGAAAGAAGTTTAACATCTTTCAAAGAAATAAAAGAAGGCCTAGGTGGCTAAGTGCATTGTGTGGGAGGATAGTAGAATGACCTGTAGGCAGTTGGGAAGATAGGCTGGGACCACACCATTTACCTACATTTTACTTTTTAATTCATTGTACTCTATCCCCACCCATTCCCCCCTGGGAAACTTTACTCTCGTGATTTCTGGTCTTTGATGCTCTGGTCTTTGAGATGCTGAGAATTGGACTCTTACATTAGAGAATTTGTCTGCTTTGTGAAAATAATTCCAGAGTTTAAAGTTTGTCTAATACAAAATTGTTCTTTAATTGTTGGAACTGTTGGCATTTATGCAACCAAATACTACAATATTTAATGCTTGGAAACCCCTTCTTTCATATTATTTCCTCCCTTTTTTCTAATTATTTTTTTTCTATAACTGAGTTCAATATTATAATTCATAATTTGGTATCACTGATTAACACTCTCATGGTCTTCAATGTGCAAATTCCTAAACTTCAAAGAAGCCTATAGTTTAAAAAATTATTCCCTTACTTTAATAATTCTGTTAATTCAAAGTAAACCTACCTTTTGTTGAAGGGTGGAGAAGTCACTCATATTTTCAAAAAATTAATAGATATGTCATCTCTCTCCTTCCAAAAAGAGTCGATTTCTTACTTCAACTTAATAAGCTTTTGTGGCAGGCTGGAAGAAATGCCCCCCCCAATATATTCCCTCCTAACCCCTAGAAACTGAATATTACCTTACATGGGAAAAGATATGATTAAGTTAAGGATCTTGAGAGGAGGAGTTTATCCTGAATTATCTAGATGAGCCCTCGATGCAATGATATGTGTCCTTATAAATGAGAGCCAGACAGAATTCTCCCACAGAGACACAGAGGAGAAGGTGCTGTGAAGACAGAGGCAGAAACTGGAGTGATACAATCACAAGTCAAGGACACCAGCAGAAGCTAGAAGAAGCAAGGAACAGAACCTCCCTGAGAGCGTCTGAAGGGAGTACGGTCCTACTGACACTTGATTTCAGCTTCTGGCCTCCACAGCTGTGAAATAATATGTTTCTGTTGTTCTAAGTCATGAAGTTAGTGACAATTTTTTATGACAGTCACAGGAAACTAATACAGATTTTGGTATCAAGAAGTGGAGTGTTGCTGTAATAAATACCTAGAAATGTGGAAGTATTATCCAAGTACTATCCAAAGAGATGGATAATGGGGAGAAGTTGGAAGAATTTTGAGAAGCATAACAGGCAAAGCCTAGACTGCCTGGAAGAAACTGTCGTAGAAATATGGGTGTTAAAGATGCCATTGAAGAGGGCTTAGAAGGAAGTGAGGAACACAGTAAAGAAAGCTTCTATCAGTTTTGTGGATACATATATTGTCTTGAACAGAATGTTGGTAGGAATATGAGCATTCTAAGTGCTTCTTGTGAGGGTCCAGAAGGAAATGCAGAACACATTGTTGGGAACTGGAAGACAGGTGATCTATGTGATATAGTGGCAGAATGTGTGGCTAAATTGTGTCCTACAGTTGTGTGGAAAGCAGAATTTGCAAGCAATGAACTTGGATATTTAGTTGAAGAGAATTCCAAGCAAGGTGTTGAAGGTATGGCCTGATGTCTTCTTTCTGTTCATAGTCAAAAGTGAGAGATAAATCAAGAGAACAAATGTTAAGGAAAACTTTTGGTAACTTGTTATAGCAGCCACAGGAAATTAATACAGCCCTTAACTGGGGTCGGGGGTGGATATCTCATGTTATACAGATATTCCAAAGCATGGATCGTTGGTGTAGAACCAGATTAGTTTAGGCTGCATGCTAAAGATTTAATTTAATTATGTACATAATAGTATTTTACCAACTGTAAAGTGCCATGCAAATGTGTTTTTTTCCCTATGGTTTTTACTCTTATCTATTTCTTATTTATGTACTAAACACAGCATAGTTATGTTGTCTGGCAGAAGTGCCTGCCTCCACAAAATGTCACATCTACTTTCAGCTGCTTTTATTCTTGTGGACTTAAGACTTCCTGACTAGTTATTTCTGGAGCCAGACTGGACCAGAGTTTGAGTCCCAACTCTGCCATTTAGTAACAGTATAATCATGGACTAGTCTTCCCATGATTTCAATTATTCTTCTATAAAAAGGGGAAGAGATGCTGGTGGTTTGAGATTTAAAATGAAATAATGCAGAGGACTGATAATATTTATTTATGATCATCATAATTTAATTATTACAATACTAACAGTAGCTGTATTAGAAAGATGGAAAATACTCTTTATGAGGTTCCACTGGGTACCATCCTGTGAAGAGTTACACAGGCCGGAGATGGAGGAATGCCAGCAGTGAGACCGGATGCACTTCAGGACATGGAAAAAAAACCAAGACCAATTACAACTCACCTGAATACCAGCTCTTGCTGTAGCCTTGTTTTCATTTCCATGCCAGCAAAATGGTTTCCACTGTGACTAGTCTGTAGCACAGAGGGTCTCAGCAAGGAACCCTTAAATAGAGAAGCTTGAGGATTTAATTTTCATATATCCATATAATATATAATCCATAAATACATTCACATACAGTGGGAAAGAACATTTTCTTTGGCACTTGGCAGAAGGTCAATTGGGAAAGCAGTCATAAACTACTTGGTAACATTAAATGATTTAATGTTAATTAAGTAACATTAAATAAGGGAATAAGAATGGACTCTTGTAGCATTTGACCTAATCTGAAGAGCAACAGCTACCAATTGGTGAATTCCTGTGCCCAGAAACTGTGCTGGACATTTTAGGTGCCTTCTCACTAGGCTGTAAACCTCTGTTCAATATGAACCATTACCTCATTTTACAGATGAGGAAACTGAGGCATAGAGAGACAAAGTGAGATATTAAGAGACAAAGAGCTGAGACATATTCACAGTGGGCTTCAAAATGTCTAAACCACCTGCAAAGCCCATGACCTTTCCACTGTGGCGTGATGCCTCCATAGGAAGTTTGCATATCTTGCATCACTAGTTCTCTAGCAACAGCTGTTATTGGGTATTCTTCCTCTGTTCTTTTAGTTTGTTTATACCTCTCACTACAAAAATCACATGAGAAAATCATCATAGTTGTATACAGATAGATAATTGATGGATAGATAGATAAATAGAGTATGTGAATATATGTGCATATACACACAATCGCACTCTGACTTTTAAAACCATCTTGTGGATCTTGTTGGCGAATCCCTTGTGCTCTCCTTATGTTCTGGCCAGGTGTGCAGAGCAGCTAGTTCACAATAACCTCCCAACTACCAGTGTCATCATGTGCTTTGTGGATGAAGTGTGGTCCACTCTCCTGAGGTCAGTTCATAGTGTCCTCAACCGCTCTCCCCCGCACCTCATCAAGGAAATTCTACTGGTGGATGACTTCAGCACCAAAGGTAAGAAAACCACTCCTAGAAGATCAAAATTTGATATGAGGCAATAGCAGTTTGGATGGATGGCAAAGTTACAGAGTAATTTGATAAAGCATAAACATTTTACAAATGCCAAATCATTTTTTCATGTTGTATCTTAGAGGCATAAGGCCAAACATTTATGGGTCACAGAAAGTCAGCTTTACCATCCAGGGCCTTTTCAGTTAGCCACCTCACACTTCCCTTCAGCTATGACTTCTCTGCCATGTAGGAGTGATTTTCTAACAACAGCTCCTCGGAGATGGGTGCTTTGAAGTTCCAAAGACCAGAAGATATTCCCTATGATTGCACAAATATCCTTTTATGGAATCTAACAAGCAAAGACCTCACAATTACTGGGATTGGTTTCCTATTGGTAATAAACAGAGTTAGACTCTATAGAAACCAATGAAATGGAAGGCCTATGGCTTCTTGCTTAAGAGCAAAGCGTATTATTTGCTCAGTAAGTGTTGAGAAGATAAATTGCCAATGGGACCAGAGAGATGAGGTTCTAACAGATTTCAAAGGCAGAATCCACCAGTTTTTACTTGTGCTTTTGTTTATTACAGTAAAAATCTCTTTCTTTGGATTGTCAAATAATTTGTATACATAAGAGGTCCCATGACTCTCAGAAGTCCTGTGACCACCACATTACAAATTCCCAAATTGCAACTCACTTAAGAAAATGTTTTAAAAAAAATAGCAGAGACCACAACTTTAATAGAGCAGCTTAGCCTCGATCACGGCCACAAGGACCGGAGCCAGTCTCCGTGGCCTCAGAGTGCCTACCAGAATCACACTGAGCTCCAGGAGCAGAGACGCACCTAAGGAAAACTAGTTGAAAACTTTAAGAAGTGGCCTTGAAAGCATAAACAGAAACAGTATCTGGTTAGCAAGCAGATAA